TTTTTTAATATTTTATTAAAAGGAAAAAGACCTGTTCCTTAATGGGAAAAGATAGTCAGAACTGGATGCTGAGATGTGAGCTAGGTTATGGCCCCAGATTTACAAGAGTTAGTCAGGAGCTGCTGGGCACTTCCTTTCAAATAAATTCACAGTAACTTATGCCCTCATCTCTTTTCTTATGAAGTCAAAGCATATTCTGTGAAACAGCAAACAAGTAGGTTAAGGACTTAAACTGGAAAATAAATTACAGTAGAACCATTTATTTCATTATTATTCTCAATGCTAGCATGATGAGAGGGGAGATTAGATGTGGCAAAGGGAATTCTGGAAGGACTTAAATTTGCACCTTGCTGGTCAGAAGGGGAACAGCGCAAGAGGCTGAGCTCTCCGAGTGTCCTGACATTGCTGACTGGAGTCTTCTTGAATACCGATTTACATCTCATTAAGCAGCACTATTTTGTGCCTGCCCGTTCTGCCTCTCCTAGGGAAGTGTCAGTCAAATGGTCCACAGTGATCCTGCCAAAGTGGACGTTTTGTCAGTGGGAATTACTGTCTGTCTCACTCTGCTGCAATAAGGTATGGCTCTCCACCAGCTTCCAATTAAGCACAATAGGCAATATTTATATATTGTGACTCTGGTTGTACCTTCACCGTGATGTATGAGCCAGGACCCCAAATCAATATTTGCGTGACTGAACTTGAGATAATTGTTAAGCCTGTGATAAGGTCAGAGCTTATTTATGCATGAGAATGTTCATTAATGTAGTTTTTATTCAGATGGCACTTCAAAAGAAACTAGAATTACATTTCAGAAGAAGCTCAAGTCCTGGATTTAAATTATATCCAACCTGTATTTAAAAAAACAAGTAATGTGACTATGAGCATGGAAAGAAGAAATGTCATTTTAAAATCTCCAGACGTCTGTATGAAAATAATACGCATAGGGACTGACAAAAAAGAAATCTTCTATTTTAGAAAAGTATTAAAAGATACTCTTAATTCCCTTTGAAGTTGGTGTTAAATATGTGCTTAACTTTTTGCCTACTCGGGGAGCCACGTCAGCAGCTTGCTAAATCATTTCTGCATTGGAACTTACTGGATCAATGAGCAGCGGACTTCAAGAGGTGCTATTCCTCAAGTAAGGGAAGTCAAAACGAGAGGAGCTGCTCTGTCAAACCAACCATCTAAACACATTCATCTAGAGTGGTTTGCTCCCTTATTAAAACAACTTATCACAATTCTTCTGTTTTCTTACTGGCATCACCAATGTATAGGTTCACATGCTGAACAACCTTGGGAAGGGCACACAAAAAGACTGGAGTAGACCCAGGTATTTTCCTTTGCAACTCACGAGTACGCTGCCAAACTCAACTGAAATGCACCAAATTGTTTATTTTCTTCTTCTGAAAAGTCTGAGAGTGAAAGGTTTCCTCATCGATGACAGGGTTTTAACCACTTACCTGAGAGGACATCCCATGGCACGGGTACAGGATTGCCTTGTCGTCCTCTTCAGCTCCCTGGTCCAGGCAGTAGCCGCTGGCTTTGCTGTTACGCACCTGTACCCAGACCAGAAAGAAAACAGCTGCATTAGGAATTAATCTGCGTGCTTCAGTCGGGCTAAGTCTTAGCTGCACTACAGCTGCTGGAACAACTGGTGTGTAAAGCTGAGAAACACTTATTCTCCAGGTACGACAGGATGCCAACTGTGAATTTGCTCCAGAAAGAGACATTATTTGGACAACCTGCTGGCTTTACAGACCAGTAAGATTTTCAGCTCAAGGAAAAAAATCCTATAAAATTCACTTTAAGAAACCCAGGCCAAATTTTGCTTCAAAATATCCTTGTGTAGATATAAATTTTGACCATATATGCTGAGAATGTGACTTAAACCAAACAGCACAGGAACCACCCAGGATCAGTTTGGGATGCGGCACCCTTTTTAAAAACAGAAAAGCAGATGAAATAATTCTACTTGAATTGAGAATATAGTATGTGGTTATGTACAGAAGGGATGTAAAGGATACAGCAATGCTGACCAGCTTTGGAAGGGTTTCGATATATTTAAAGTTTGGGTTCAGAGAACCAACCAAGTCAAAATTCATGTGCCTCCTCAGGCAAGGGAAGGAGCTCTTGTGAAATTTCAGGCCTTTCTTTCTCTTTATGCTCGAAGCATTGCACACACATTTTAATAACTGAACCAAGAGGTTATTTAGATGGACATTTTGAAGCAGTCAACAGGTCAGGTTTGGTTTCAGCTGTGAACAGTTTGTCTGTCCACCCCCATAATATACATAATACAGCAATAGCTGCTGCATGGGGTGTCAGAGAAATTGGTAAATAATCCTTTGTATTGGGGTGTAGGAGCATAACAGGGACCAGATAAGGGGGCTCACCAACAGTTAAAGTTTAGGAGGTTTATTTTATGACTCGACTACCATAAGGGCTAAAGAAGATGAAGACAGCTTTATGAGATGGCTTTAAAAATGTGAATTGAGTCACTAGGAAATATATTTTTACTACTGTTTCAATCTATTTCACATCTACTCAATACATTTATTTTCCTTTAAACTTACTAAAATCCAGACATCTTTTCCTCCAGGAAAATAACTAGAAGAGAAGGTATTTATTTACAAGCTTGATGTTATTTAGGATGAAGCTTCTATTTCTTTCATCATGGGCAAGTAAGACTGAAAGGGAACCCTGCCAGTTTGTAGTAGCTAAATAGCTCGTGTGGCTCCATCTTGCTATAAATTTTAATGAGTTAGATACCTGCATCACTAAACTCCTGCTTGAACCTTCCTGCGACCACTCAGTAGAAATAAACTTGTTTTTGGAGCCCAGCTCGAGAACCGCCTGGTGTAACTGACGCAACATTGGCAGCGCTGCCAACGCTCCTCGCAGTCAACAGCCTCCTCCGAGCTGACACTTACTAATAGCTCCCGTTGCATTTGCTAAGTGTCTTCCCTCCGTTACTGCCAGGGATGGTTCTATTAGGATGCAAAGTGATATTATGCAATAAAACTTGCACTTTGTATCAGTATCTGCAGTGCCTGACTTATTTTTATATGAAGTCAATCAAACAGAACAGAAAGGAATAGCATCCATTTAGTTGTCTGGTGTGAAAATACATTGCCTTTGGATTTAATTGTGGTTGATGTAGACAATTAAAACAGGATCTAAAAACGCTGCGCAGCAGCAGAGCCCCTAGAACTTCACCTCAGTTCAGTCACAAGTGACAGCAGCCATTACATTGCAGGGACGTGATTCAGATTTAGTGGTTGCTGAAGGCTCCCTGACTTCTTCAACGATTGAGGTCATGCACATGTGGAACATGTGCTGGGTCATAGAAGAGGAAGAAATGGTGCAGATAACTGAGGGGAACCCAAATGTCTGCACATCTCATACATGTTTGGATTCAGCACGTTATTAGGTCAAGTAACCTATCTGCTCGGCTGTCTCAGAGCAGGTGTCCCATGGTCCTATGCAATACGGGTACACAAGTGGAGGAGAAAACACAGAATCTGAGTGCAGAGCAGCAAAATTGTGTTTGCTGTAATGACTTTTCCATTATGAGATCAAGACCTGCCAGATGGTAGCCTCACCTCATAATCTGAACAAGGATATGTTTCTTTTTATCCCAAATAAGGTGGATTGCAAATATGAATTAATAAAGTGAATGCAATCCCTCAAACAGTTTGGCAAAACCCAAAAAGGGATGGTTCTTTTCCTAAAAAGAACTTGGTAACCTCAACTGTTCTCATAACTGTCATTATTTTAGCTCCCTTGACTGCTGATGTTTTCTTGATGATGCCTGTGGCATCCTGTTTGGGAAAATGATTACCACAGGTTTAAGTTCCCAGAGCTGCTCTGTTTTAAAACGAAGGCCAGGGAGGTTGTGTATCATCCCAATCATACCCACTGCTAAGATCAAAGGACTGCTCTGATGCAGCCACGGAGCATTTCAAAGACACACCGTACCTCTCCGTAAGTGACTGTGTTATTATAGACCCTCATTTCGGGATAGACGTTCTCCAAGTACCACTTAAAACTGCGGCACTGCAGTCGCTGCCGTAGAGCTATTCTTTCAGAAACGTCTCCAAAGTCAACTCCAGGGTTCTGTGAAGCAGAAAAAATAATAAAAAGACCACACTGCACTGACTTTACAGTTGTTTTCTTTACTGAAACCAGACTGGAGTTCATTTGGTAGACCAAGTTTTATTTCCCTCTCTTCTTTCTCTTCTGTAAGTAGCAGCTCATCAGACAGCTGCTGTTGAGAGCAGACAATAAATATTAATGAAAGCCAATGGGAAAAGAACGATAACGAACAAGTAGAAAACAAACATAAATCAAAATAATAAGGATACAATAAGAATGTTGTTACTTACAGCAATTCTAAATGTTTGCAATTAAACCTGAACCCCTTTGCTTTCGGATTTGTTCTGAATTTGGGCAGTAATTCTGATCTAAGATATGGCAGTGATCGTGGTTACTGTAGTAACTCTAGCCTTGGGTATTCACTAACGCAAATGAGATCAGAGCAGACCTGTTAAAACTTCAAAGCAGAGCTGCTCAAAAAGTCATTAAGCTCCATTAAACATTTGCATAGAGCAGCTGAATGGAACTGAAGCTCATTTGCAGACCTGAGCCATAAAATGCAGTCAAACTCAAAACCTTCTTTATAATTCTACTTCAGAATTGAATTCATGTTTGAATACAAATCCCATGAATAAACACGGGCTGGGAGAGTCAATTCAATATGACCAAACTCAGCCATTTAAGAAGTGCAGGTCCCGAGTTAGTGTCTGTTGATTTGAACCAGTATAAATCATCGCAGTTCAGCATTAGGACAGCAAGCGTTACCTCATCTAGAGATCTCCTCTGACACTGCATGAATCAAATGGACCGAAACCAGGCAGTCTCGCACGGATCTCTCTTAAGTGCCTCGTACATTTCCTCCAGAAAGATTTCTGTGTGCTTTACAAACACTGCCTAATGCAGGGGTACAAGGCAGCAGCAAATCTTAGCTCAGGGTTTATTGCAATCCCCAGCAGATGCCCAGATTTCAGGAGAGAATACAAATGTAATGCTGAACAGGTTTTTCCATTTTCCACATAAAGAGTTTGCTGTGCTCACTGCTGCTTGCTGATGCATACTTTGTCATGAGCTCTGTGCAGCATCCATTCAAATGAATGCTAATTTACGTACTACTTAGGCTGCATGGACGGGGAGCAATTCTCAGAGCACTCAGTACAATAAATCATTCAATATGAAATTCCTTTATCTCTGAAATTGTCGAGGAACAGATCATAAGCAGGGCCATACCAAATATCTGGTTGGCTAAAATAAAGCTCTGGTGACCGGCAGATGAGGGTTGTAGGAACACGATCTTGCAGATGGGCCCAAAGACCACCCGCTAATTGGGACAGACACAGGCACAGATCCTCCACGACTTGGAAGGAGCGGGTTGTGAAGAGGATGATGTGAGCTACGGAAGGGCTCATCTGGATGGTTTTGGTATATACACCTGCATTCCACTTGCCTCCTTCCTGCCCTGCTCTGAACAGACGTGACACAACGCCCTGTTTGCAGCAGCATTTCCAGAACACGGGAGCAGCAACTGGAGCAGCTATGGAGATGCTGTGCTCACCTCTGTATTGGCCACAGTCATCACGTGTGGTCACAGTGCGATGGCACAGGACTGAGGTGTTCACAGAGTTTGGGGTGTGAAGGTGCCTTTTTTAACCGGGCAGTAAGGTTCCTGATTGTCCCACAGGGGCTTCTCTTATGGCTCATAACAGTACAGCCCTTCTTGGTCATCTGCATTGAGTACTACAGCGGAATAACTGTGAACGCTAAAGCTGGCTTCCCTTTCCTGAGATAATGGGGTTGTTTTTATGACGCGCTTTTTATCAATCCATTCATTTTATGGAAAGAAAAATTTAACGTTCAGTACTTCTGCTGATTTTATGTTTCTTAATGTAGATGTGCCTGGGGGTTTTTTGGGAGGTTTTGCTGTTGTGGTGGTGGTTTTGGTGGTTTGGTTTTTGGGGGTTTTGTTTGTTTGTTTGTTTGAAGGCACTGCTGTATAGCTCAGTGTAGAAAACTACATCAATGAAAATCTCAGAGAGATTAAAGGAAATTAGGATTTGGTGTAAATGCTTATTCACACGTCTTGTCTTTTCTCAGAATTCATTTGCAAAAGGCAGCAAGCAAACAAATTTACCAAGGTTACTTCTTTTTCATCTCCTATTTGGAAATTTTATCAAATGGATGCAGGCAGGGCCAAAAGTGTCCCTAAAAACTTAGGCAGACGCTGCTCTGTCTTCCTCCTGCTGTCACAGAAATCTTGTGTGGGAAAGAAGCGATGCAGAGAATTATTTTGCCTTAACAAGGCAATACTGCATAACTTCTTTCCCATACAAGGGTTAATTAAACCATCATTACCCACAGAGCAGAGTATGCTTCCTCTGAGCTGCCCTCCCTGTTCCCCTTCACATTAATAATTTGGATGCAAATACGTCTAAAGGATACGGCAACAGCCAGCTTTCACCTGCCTGGGATGTAACACATACCTCTTCTCTTGAAGAATTATACTAGGAAGAGATGTAGCATGTGATATACTTACAGAATAAAGTGATAAATTGAACCTACACTTTATCTAATATTTATATTACACGGGTTCCTAGAGGTCCCCTCATGCCACCTACAATTTGTACGCACGGTAAGAAACAGAACGCGTCTCTCAGCCTGCAGACAATAAACCCCGTTAACGCGTGACTCTTTTATCGTGTACTTTGTTTTTTATGCTGGTGAGGTCTACTGAGTCTCATGATGAATTATATTTATTTATGGACATTTCTGCAGTCCTCACCACTGTAGCATACGAACACCTCAAAGTTTAATGGCATCCCAAATTAACGACTTCTTCTGGGGAAGCACATAAACCTGAACCATCGTGCTCTAGTTAAATTATAAATCTGCATCACCGCTCCTGAGCGCACAGCAAGACGTACACTGAGGAGGAGTTCATACGGCAGGACTCTCCACATCGAGCAGCACCAGCACGACAGCACTGTGCCCTTCATAGGGCCATAGGGACATCCTTCATAGGGCCACAGTGACATCCTTACCCTCCAGGAGCCATCTAGGGACAGCCATCGCGTGTTTGCCCCCTTACGTGAGCCGCACTCACCGCCATGGGGATGTTCCACGCCATGTACACGTGCGACTTGAAGTCGTCCATCCAGACCTCGGCAGCACGCAGGGCGTTGCGCTTTGCATAGTAGTCGATGTCGTTGTTGTAGGGCTTCTTGGTGCGTTCAATGTGAGCCACGCGAGAGCAGGGCAGCACCTCCATGCTCCCCCCGCACTGCCAGACCTGGGGATGTGGGGGGAAAAGAATCAAATTAATTTAAAAGACCTTTTCTGCTTTTTAAGGCGATCTGGCTGCTTCTTTTCAGATGCTGCATGTGGAGCGTGCCCTCGGGGAAGACAGGAATTACCGAACAATTCAGAACGATCGATCGCCCAGTTCACCTCTCTGCAGTTGACCGCAGATGAGTCTGAGGTGAATGCAGGTGTTAGGTACACAAGTTTAGGTGCCATAATTTAACCAAGTGTTACTGAAACTTCAACAAGAACCAGTTGTATCAGCTCTGTTTGGCACCGGGTGGTTACTACATCAGCTCCCCAGATAAACCACTAAAAAGTTTGTTAGTTGAAGTGTGACTGTCAGAAAAACCTGATACACGTTCAGCACACATGAGCATCTCAGATGATCTTTTCTATTGCAGAGCCTTTTACATGGGGATCTGAACATTACCTTTTGGAAATAGGAGGAAACAAATTACTCACATGCGCAATACCAACATTAAAAAAAAGCAGCATGGAAACACACTTATTTTCTTATTATGGAAACTCAGACTGATTGCGAGTCAGTCAATTACTCTCTTCTTTTTCTCATGTAGCCCCTGCAGGCCTCACCGATTTCCAGTGCAGCAAATCTCCTCTCACAAACTCACTCTGCCCTACCTTGTCAGTAAGAAACAAGACCGAGACTGAGTCACCCGGTGGGTACAGGACGTCCCGTGGAAGCTTTACCCAAATACCACACACGCAGGGTGCCTTGGTAAATCTGGCCATTAACAAAACGTGCATTTATTCAGCAACAGCGCTGGGGCAGCTCCGCACCTAACCTGCCTTCTCAGAGACAAAGACAAATTGCTCGGGAAGCGGCGGATAAAATCTTCTCCTCTGTTTGGCCTTTTTTTCATGCTTTGTTAGGTTATATTTATTTGATGCTTTCTAAACAGCTCTGTATTAAATCACTGGCCACTGGAATTTGCATTTGATAAATGAAGTACACTGAAAAGCACACTGCTCATAAATTTGGATGGACATACGCTGAGGGCTTCAGTACAAAGGGGAAGCTCTATTAAAAAAAAGGAATTAATTGATTTTCATGATCAGAAGAGGAAATGATGGTACACTTTAGTACACTGCTATTTGCCCAACCCGCCCTGGAAGTCAGCTCTTTAATGCATAGCACATTTTTCTTTCTCTCGATACGGTTGATGACCTTGTAATTCTTATTTATGTATTTTGGTACCAAGGGCAAATACATTATCTGAGCAACAGATTTATTTCCTTCAAATGCCAGTGCTCATGCAAACCTGAATAGAAAAAGGTACTAAACTGCAGCGTTAAAGGAAGCTGTTTAGCTCATCTGTAAATTCAACACAAACAGTTATTTATCAGTGATAAACTCTCCCCAGATGAAATCCAGGGGAACTCAGACACCTGGCTTTGAGGAAAACACAACCAAAAGGCAGCACGGCCCCAGGGCAGATGATGCTCATGTCAGCCCGGATCCCTGCACCACCACCCCATCTGCACTCTGCGCTGCTCTACATTCACATTCAGCCACTTCTGCACCTGCCCCTCAGCCCCATTTGGCTCTTTGAAGAGGAAATCTGCTGAAGAGCACGGCAGAAGGAAGCAGAAGGGAAATAATCAAGGAAATGTTGCTTCCTATGGAGATGCTAATGTACCCCCGACAACTTGTTTCTGCCGGGAACAGTAACTTGTAACACCAGCTGGGGATGGTTCCCAGGATAAGGGTGGGATTTCCAACCCAGGGAGCATTGGATGCAGAGCACAGGGGGCAAGGAGGCAATCCTGTATCACCAGTATACATCACCATTCTCCATACCCCGGATCAAGGCCATGGCTGTTCATCTATGGGTCATTTCTGTTCAGGCAGACAAGGTCTCCCGTTTCATTTCATAACTATCAGTTGTGGTTCAGTGGAGCACAGACACCATTCTGCATCCCCACACCCCTTCAGGGCTCTGCTAAGTACAAAGTGAAGCTCCTGTCCTCGCCCTTTTCTGCCCAATGATTGCCTAAACTTACACAAAACGAGAGTTTTAGTACTAAAACCAAGTGCGTGCGCCCGGAACAAGCCAAGGTTCCAGCAGGTAAGAGCAGTGGTGTGAGGTTTGGATGAAGACTCAGACTTGTGTCTGGACGAGGAGGTTTAGCAGCAGCTTCCCCCCTGGAAAGGACTGAAAGGCACACGACTGAGAAAACCATTGTCTGACCCTAACTGCAAAATGCCTCTGAAATACAAAGAAGGATAAAGGAATAAGGAAAGTTTTACTGCATGGAACAGATAAGAGGTGAGTCAGTGCCTGCCCCTGAAACTGGTTGATTCGCCTTCTCTTTTCATCCTCAGAACTGTATTTAATGACCCATTTTAACAGTATTAAACAACCCATTTCTTTCCACATCTAACTATGAAATTATGTCAGGAAAATAATTACATGTACCTATAGAGCATTTATCAAGCAAGGTTCTTAAATTGTTTTACTATAGAAAGCAAATTATTTCTACCTGTGAGCATAAAATGATGCCCAAGTCCCTTCAAACTGACACATTTTGGGCAACCAGAGGAAACCAACTTCCATATCCATAACTCATCTTCTGGGAAAACAACACATTTCCAGCCAAGTTGCTCCTCTCACACCGAGCTGCCAGCACTAAATGTGTGTTTCGAGGTTCATTTATGGAGAAGGTTGAAGCTGAATGGTCCAAGCCACCCCTACAAGGGTGCGCATCCCTGAGAAGCAAACTGATATCCAACTTTGTTTCTGGCATCACAGTGTGTACCCATCAAGCCTTCATTTTGGGCACCAGCTGGGGCAGCAGCACAGGCTTTGCAGAAGGGCAGGTGGATGCAGGCACAGACCATGCCCCGGTTGATGAACGGCAACAGCAGAGAGGAAAAGAGGCCTCTGCTTTCTGTGCTCCTCGACACAGCTGCTGCAGCCCAGGGACTCAGGTCTGCAATGTTTTAAGGCATGATCAAGTAATTCCAAGAGACACTCAATTTATCTGTTAATTGTAGTTAATTTCTAATTTCGGTATTGCTCTTTAGGCTGCTATAAACAAAATTGATAGCAATATAAATGTTACCATAGCTGTGTTACCTTAGCATTTTTACTGCTAATTATCTCAATCAACTTTTCTATAAACAGACATATTAAGTATTAAGAAGAACAAGTACCCACATCAGGGGTAAATTACAAACTGAATGATAATGTTCATGGTTTGTGCTACAATGATTTACTGGCACTAATTATTAGCTATTCCTGTGCACCTGAGATACGGCTGTCCTACAGAAAAGTGTTTGCCATTAATTATACAATAGTCAATTGGACATCATATTCAAGGGATAACTGAGATGAGGCGGCATCTTGTTTACCACGATCTACACAGCGCAGCACCAAAGCTCTCTGGATGCAGGTCAGGTACAGGAGCTACAAAGACTAATAAATGGCTATGCTTGAACTCCTGCAAGAAAAAGATTTCTGGGGAAATATATGTCCCCACAATTACTTGTTTTGGTGAAAAAACAATTTCTTATCTAACAAACAAACAAAAAGTTGAACCACAACTATATATATATAAAACACTGCTGACATGGTCTGCAGCTCTGCAGGCGAGACCCATTTCCACAGCACTGTACCTGCTGGGTGAATATCAGAGCCCAGGAACCCTGCAGGTTTAGTGTTCAGGTGAGTTGTTTGTACCAGGGCGGCTGCAGCCCCCAGGATGCTCTGATGTGGGGGCTCTGTATACTGGAAAACACCCCACCTTGCCTGCAGCCATCCTGATTTTAGAAAATACATGTTTATGAGTGAAATGATTCATGTTACTTCCAAAAAAAGGCAATGAAATTCCAGTATTTTGTGGCCACTCTTATGCATGCTTTTAGGAATGTCAGGAGAAGGGGGTGCCTGCACTCTACCAGTAACTAATACTAGGGATTATTAATCGTTTCAGTAAAAGAAAAGCAACATATAGCTTCACAAGTTCACATATGGCAATATTTTGTACACTAAGCAAGGGTATTTAATTTGGTACAAATGACCTCAGTAAAACCAAAATCAGTGGGTAAAAGAACATGGCATTGACGTGAAGGCACCACTGAGGACAGTGAACTCTTAGAAAACTTAGGCTGGAAGGAAAGATCACGATCCTTAAGAACATTGTATCCTGCTGTGAATTTTGCAGTTTAAACCCCTCGGTCCTCAGAGAGAGAAATAAAAGCTTTGGACTCTGTTGCAACTATTTTATCTCTTCCCAGTCAGCCTTGGACCAACAGGGTCTAAATCAGAAGGGATTCTCCAAAGTAAACTCAAATCGTGACAACCGTTTCATTTCCTATCTGAAGCACAGAAGCTCCCCAGTTGTCTTCCAGTCCTTCAGGGCTGTGGGACTCTTCTACTCTAGAAACAAAATATTAGCATGGATATAGCACACTTCTGGTTCTTGCATCTCCGATATCGACAATTTACAAAGTTCACTGAAAACCAAATTTTCAAAATAATTTGTAGCCTGACATTTTATTTTTTGTGATGGAGTTTTATGGATATTCTTTCTTCCACATTCCCAGTGCTGACTAGAGAGCCACATTCATTCAGATGTGCTAGATAAAATGCTTCTCTCTGTTTTTCATTTCACATATGAAGCTGTTAGAAACTCGGGAGCTGTGATAATCAAACACGTCGTATGAAAAATTAATCATGTGGTCTCATTTAGTTCATCAGCTACATTTTTATCATCATCTTTAAAGACAGCCGTAATTATGGTTTAAAAAAGTCCCAACTCTCACTTCTCAAAATAGTCTGTGCTATTTAATGGGGCGCTTAGAGAGCAAAAATCTCTCCACGCTGGGACAAAACAGCTTACATCAGAGAGACTCTTAGCTGCCAAAATAGAATTGGAAAAAGGAAGAAGTTACATCTCAAGATCCACGGATCGTATGTTTTGTCAAATATTTCAGGATAAACTTCCGACTTTGCAATGCTTGCA